ATTACCACTTTTAGGTCTGTTATTGAGTGACCAGAGAGATTGAAGTGTTCTCCTACTAGTTTTTGAATGTTATGATTCCTGATGTCAGATTTGTGTCCATTTATTCTTTTGCGTAGAGACTGTCTGGTTTGGCCAATGTACATGGCAAAGGGGCATTGCTGGCACATGATGGCATATATCACATTGGTAGATGTGCAGGTGAACGAACCCCTGATGGTGTGGCTGATGTGATTAGGTCCTATGATGGTGTCCCTTGAATAGATATGTGGACAGAGTTGGCACCGGGGTTTGGTTCCTTGGTTGGTGTTTTTGTTGTGTGGTGTGTAGTTGCTGGTATTTGCTTCAGGTTGGGGGCTGTCTGTAAGTGAGGACTGGCCTGTCTCCCAAGGTCTGTGAGAGTGAGGGATCGTCCTTCAGGATACGTTGTAGATCCTTGATGATGTGCTGGAGAGGTTTTAGTTGGGGGCTGTAGGTGACGGCTAGTGGCGTTCTGTTACTATCTTTGTTGGGCCTGTTTTATAGTAGGTGACTTCTGGGTACCCTTCCGGCGCTGTCAATCTGTTTCTTCACTTCACCAGGTGGGTATTGTAGTTAGACTGACCTCACACTTGGTAAGGCAACTCCCATCCTTTCATGCATTTATACCTGCTCCTGTAGTTTCCACTTCATGCATCTGATGAAGTGGGTTCTAGCCCACGAAAGCTTATGCCTAAATAAATGTGTTAGTCTCTAAGGTGCCACAAGGACTCCTTGTTGTTTTTGCTGATACAGACTAGCATGCCTACCGCTCTGAAACAAGGGAACAATAATTCAGTTGATAGCAGCATGAACATACTAAACAAATATCAGATATTAAAGCAATGTGCTCTATTGGCTCTAATACACAGTGGTCAACACTGCATGTTTGTGTTAGTATTCCGTGGAAGAAAAAAAAAAATCAATCCTATTTCAGGCTACCCTATTTTTGTAGTATGGAGGGGGAAAAACCTAACTCTATAGATTATTTCCTCAAGTGTAATGCAAACAGCTAAACTGTTGAAAACAGCAATACTATGCCATTGTCTATTCATTCGCACCTTTTTATCTTTCCTGTTTATCTTAGAACTATACATAGGACCAGCATAAAGGGTTAGCCTTCATAATACAACATCAATCTACTGGTTTCCTACTTTAAAAGGTAAACAACTCTGTTTCGAGAAAGTAAAATGCAGATAACAGAACTGTCTAATGATGACACTGGAGTTAATATAAGGCTCCTGGGAACTCTGATGCAATAGTGCACACACAAAGGAGCTGCACAAGTGTAAATTCAGACAATTTTGACCAATAACACTTGTGCTGAATTTGCTTATTTTATGCTACTTACTCAGCTGCTCTGCTACAGCTGCAAACTGTTTAGAGATTAAAACTAAACTGAAAGGGAGTTTTTACAATTAATTTTCTGTACACTTACATTAAATTGGTTCTATCTAGAAATCTGCTTTGAAGGGGACAACACAGATCTTTACCGATTGGCATAGTTTGTTCTTTTAATTGCTCTTAAAATGCTGACAATTTTAATAATTTTTACTGTTAAGTGTCCTGCAACTTCTTATGGAAGTAGGTATAGAGATGTTTCTTCATTTATAACTAGCAAAGAGTTGATGACAGAAAATCATTAAGTTTCTGTTTCACAGGAAATATATGTACTTCAGATAAAATTTGAGCTTAGCCAGTTACTTGAATCTCTGGCACCACCTATAGATGATATAAAATATTTCATCATCACTTTAAAAACAATCTGAAATCTAATATACAGTAATTTGCTGCATACAGAGATATGAAAACTACCAAATCTTGCTTTCCAGCAGCTAAAGGTTTGTGCATTTATATTGGAAAAACTAATAAACAAACCAAATTATCCTCTTATCCTTCTACTTTCCACATTAATGGTTTCTTGTCAATTTTCAACAAATGGTTGCCTCGAAGTACAGCATCAACATGTGAGATGGAATGGAATTTAAATTTTCTAGCCAAACTAGCCCATGATTCTCTGGTAGCCAATGCTGTAGAGGATATTCTACAATCAAAACCATAATAAACTGAACCCAGCATTCCTGCCAACTGGAGGGGATGGCCCAACTCTTGTTCCACTAGCAGCCAGGAAGCACTATTATTCTCTGGAGCCAGAGGGCTGTCTAGCTGATGATAAAGTCTGCATGATAATGCTGCAAGTTGGGGAAATGGACACCTGCAGCTGTGATTGGGAATTTTAATTTACATAAGAACATAAGAATGGGTCAGACCAAAGGTCCATCTAGCTTGGTATCCTGTCTTCCGATAGTGGCCAATGCCAGGTGCCCCACAGGGAATGAACAGTACATCATCAAGTGATCTATCCCCTATCACCCATTCCCAGCTTCTGGCAAACAGTCTAGGGACCATCCTTGTCCACCCTGGCTAATAGCCACTGATGGACCTATCCTCCATGAACTTATTTAGTTCTTTTTTGAACCCTGTTATAGTCAAATAAAGCCAGTCTTGGCCTCCTACCCACTGACAGAGAAGTATTTTTAAAAAATTGTTAATTTTCCTAAAATAAAATGGAGGAATAGTAACTGGGAGAACTCATAGGGTATACATTTTGGGATGCATATTCATTTTGATAATATAAATTTTGGCCCAAAGGCTAAGAGTAAGGATTCTCCCTCTGCCCAATTATCTCAATGAACTAAAATGGGCTCTAGATTAATTTTGAACAAATTCTCCAGCTCATTGGGGCTGAAGATTCCTAAATATTTCATATGTTTGGGTTGCCACCTAAAATTCCAATTATCATAGATGCTTACGCTCAGAATTTGACTTTTCCCAGTTGATTTTATATTCCAAGAGGTGTCCAAATGCATTATTTATATAGGTTAGGCGCAGGATTTTCAGGTTTAGACACAAGAATGTCGCCAGGATAAACTATGATCTTCTGCTGTTTTTGTTAACACTGGTACCCCCACATAGATTACAGTGCATCGACCTTGCCAAAACAGACTGCTGCTGGAGATGTGGGTCTCCCAGAGCCACACTGGCTCACGTTTTGGGACTATCCCATGCAATACTACTTTTGGCCAGAAGTAGGTAGGATTAATATAACAGATACCTCCCATCATCTTAACCTCTCCAACTCATAGAAAGTTTGGTTCTCTAAAACAGTGCTTGTAGCCAAATGACTCATATTGCTTAGGTGGAAGAACAGACTGCTTCCAGGAACAGAAGCTTGGCATAGCAAGTTGGCTGACCTGGCAGCTAAAGAGCAAGTAACCTTTTGGAGAAGAGAGACCTCTGACAAATTTGAAAAGATTGGGTCTAACTTTTTAGAAACCTTTGATTATTCCCTAGCAGATGGAAACCAAGATGTCGTTATCCTTTCCTCTCCCTTCCTTTACTTTTTTTGTTCTTTTGTCTTTTTTCTCCCCTTTCTTTTAAAAAAAATATATTTGCCTAAACTGGGCATAAGTCTTTGGGGCTTGGTTTATTGGGTTTGCTTTCAATGTTGTTCTCCAGTTGCCTGTCATTGCATACTACAAAGGGGCTGGCTCCTTTAACACAGAAGTCAATAAGGGCTTTGCCATATCATTCCATTGATGAAGGATCAAACCGAATACCCTCCCTTACTGAATTAGGGCTTGTGAAGCTCAATGAAATTTTGTCTTGAGAGGAGAGAAATGTTGTTTGCTGTTAAAGGATTTAAAATGTCTGCTTGTTTTGTTTAATGTCTTCTTTTGCCTATTGCTTGCTCTTCACTACAGCCTGCCCACTGTAACTATATTCCAACTACATACCATTTCCCTAGTCTCAATCTCACAAATGAGAATGTGAACACTGACTACATACCCGGAAGCATTTATGGATGGTTTGACTGGGAGGAACAGAGAACACGAAGGGTTTGTCTACCTGATAACTGACTGTTCGCCAAGACAGGGTGTGAATCTACAGCAGTGGGTTCTCAAACTTTTGTACTGGGGACCCCTTTCACACAGCAAGCCTCTGAGTGAGACCCCCCCTTATAAATTAAATTTTGTTTTATATATTTAACACCATTATAAATGCTAGGGTGGAGGCTGACAGCTCGCGACCCCCCATGTAATAACCTCGCGACCCCGAGGGGTCCCGACCCCCAGTTTGAGAACCCCGATCTACAGCACCCCAGCTTGCCCCACAATAATGTCACATGCGATACTGCTCGAACGCAGTAGACGTCCCAGTGTGTCTTGATCTACTACATTATCATATATTTTACTGTGCACTTTAATTCAAAGATAGGTAAAACATTATGCTATCAGCTAAAGCAATAGTTCACAACCTGAAGGTCAGTGACCACAAATAATAAAAACTTAGTGACCACTAAGTGCTATTTCATCTTCAAAGTGCTTTACAAATATCATTAAGTTTTCAACATGCTTGAGAGGTAAGTATTATGTCCATTCTACAGTTGGGGAACCGAGTGTGTCAGGATTATAACTCAAAATTTCCAGGCTCCCAATTAATTGCTCAGACTATACTTGCCCACTCCTTAGCTTTGGGTACAGCAACCTCCTTTCCCATTCCGTTTCTGATCTTACATTACAGTGGGTTTGCTCAATGACTTGCAACTAGTCCTCCTCAGATGTGAGCTCGCCATAAATCAGCATGCCTCTACCCATAGCACTTTAGGAACTGGCACAGATGACTCTCAGATGGCTATGAAGAGAAGCAGCTGCAAATGGAATCATCATATGGAAGGCTGAGAACAAGAACCACTATACTAGAATATGGAGAGCTGATAATCTTTTTAATATAGATATCCACAAATTTCTCCTTCAAACTGCAATGCAGCGTGGGAGCTAAGAAGCCATCTTCCTTACTAATAAATTAGTTCCCTGTTTAACATTCTCAACATTTATTTTATAACTAAACAACAGCCTTTTCTCCCATCCAGAATGTTGGAGGGTATATATTGCTAACTGGTTCTAATCAAACCAAAGCCAGGATTCAGGAATCAAGATTATTATTCTGAACTGCTTTCTTAAAAGGAACACGATTTTATGGCCTAAACAAAACAAACCTCAGATAAACTAGATTGAGTGGCTTTCATGGAATACGTTGGCATTGCTGGTGGATTCAAGTGTACAGAACATATCTAATCAACTCCTCTGTCAACAAAAGTGAAGGGTTCTAAAACTGTACCTGTAATTTGTGTTTGCATTTTCCCATATCATTTTCAAGGATACAATGACTCAGATTTGTGAACGCAAACATGAGTATGGCTAGAAAAAATGCATGTGCAAACGGATTTTTTTAAAAAGATACTATAAAACCAATTTCAAATATGGCTCTTCTTATGTATCCTATCAAAACATGTTTTCATACCCATGGAGAAACATTCTCTCTCTCTCTAAAAAGGTACATATTATATACCTAACAAAACAGTTAATCAGATCCACTGATTTTTTATGACTGAAGCCAAATACTAACATGTACATATTTATTCTTTATATAAATATACATTGATTGCATGGTGATGTTAAGCACACAAATAGCCACCTCTATCTTGTTCTGTACTAATATTAATGTAGTTAGCTTTTTGATCCTCAAAACGGAATCTATGATTAGGTTTTGTACTGCAACAGGTTTTCTTTTTCCTCTCTTTAAGCTGCATTCTTACACATAAAGAACAGAAATGGAAATGCAAAATACATTTCTTTTCAATCACACAATTAAAAACAAATGATAATGCAGCACCAAAACAAATGACATAAAATTGCAGCACTGTATTTGGAAAAATATATTGTATTTTTTTTTAAAAAAGGACCCTTCTGATACAGAGCATTGTGCTGTATACATGATTTGCATAAAAGATCTGTTATGACACAAAGTATCACCAACACACAGACAGCATTCTATTATTTTAAGAGAAGTACTTTGGGGCCTGATTCTGCATGATTGTCTCAAGCAAGGTGCTAAGTGCCCCCAACCCCTATTGACTTCAATACACTTTTCATGTAATTAGCAATTGCCACAAATCTCTAGACAGAATCCCAAAATAATTTTTGTGGTGCAGGGCATTTCTTGGGGACTAATAATCAGCCAGGACCAGCTGATGGGCTCATGACAAGTTAGCACAACTATCAGAGATACAATTTTTAGTATACCTTTAAGGGGTTTATGGTTCATCTTCCGCCTTTTTGAATGTACATGTTGTGATGCCACTATGATATGCACACAGTTCTGGGAATACAGAGAGCATTACAGCCTGTTAGCTAAACAGCCTGCCAAGGGTCTGAGCCAATTCCTACAGAAGTCAATGGAGTTCTTTCCATCAACTTCAATGGACACCAGATTAGACCTCAGGCTCTTTGTCAATGCTCCATTTAGCTTCTAGGGGCCAGACATTGAAAAGATCTCAGCTCCCATTTATGCACTGAAATCAATGCCCAGATTTTTTTTTTCCAAAAAACTCAGCCAGAAGGGCTCTGAGCATTTTGGAAAAGTCTGGTGATAACTGTCACATTAGGAGCTGCTGTGTGCTGAGTACTTTTGAAAATCTGGCTCCAATTCATCCTGATGAGTCTGGTGCTGAATCTAAATGGGGAAAAAAAAAATCAACATTTACAAATTTAGATCCCAATCCTGAAAACACTTCAGTGGGACTATTCAAGTGAAGTTAAGCAAATGCGTAAGTGTTTGAAGGACTGGGGCCTTAATTCTTAATGTTGTTTAATATACTGTTAATTTTTTATCATCTAAATAGTAGCACCTAGATAGCATGAAATTCTATTAGAATTATGTCCAGCAGTTTGAATTGTCTAACAAGTAATAAAAAAAATGAACAGATGTTTGTTTTGGGGCAATTATTGGTACCATGTACAAAGTCCAAAAAGTAGAACCACTGTTGTACTATGTTAGCAACAGGCAGATTAACCACAGAGAGTGCTCCCATTACAGCCCCAATCCAACAAACCACCTAAGCATATGTTCAATTTTAAGCATGAGAATAGTTCCACTTAAAACAATGGGGCTACTCATATGTTTAAATACTTTGCCTGATCAGGGCTTATATGCAGTAGAGCACAGCTACAGGGTAGGTCCTATAGTAACCTGCAAGAGGAGGTTTGGGCTGGCTAGGTTTTAATGGGTCTCCGAATAACTGTTTTGGTTCGTTGCACAAAGCCACCTTACTCAGGGCTTGTCTCCACTTACCGGTGGATCGACGCTGCGGCGATCGATACACCAGGGGTTGATTTAGTGGGTCTCATGAAGACCCTCTAAATAGACTGCAGATCGCTCTGTCGACTCCAGTATTCCACCGGATGGAGAAGACTAGGAGGAGTCGATGGGAGAGCGTCTCCCATTGACATAGCATAGTATGGACCCCGCGGTAAGTAGATCTAGGCTATGTTGACTTGAGTTACGCTACTAACGTAACTCAAATTGCGTAGCTTAGATCGACTTTCCCCCATAGTGTAGACCTGCCCTCAGACTTTTCACAGGGGATGGGAATTTGTCATGATGGTATCTTAAGGCGAGATGTTCTTTGCATTTGATTTAAAAAGAACAAACAAACCTATTTTGTTTAAATAAGACATTTGCTGCGCAAAGTAAATCCTGCTCTAGGAAGTTTTTTTGAAACGTGAAATTTTAAACAGTTGCTTTGATATTGAGGATCACATTTTTCAAAGACTGTAGCCTCTAGTTTCCAATGCATGTAATTGTGCACAGCCTTGTGTGCAAGTGCAAGCCACTGCATGTGTATGTGAGAATGCAACATATGACTATATGTGCAAAGTGGTGCAAATGGAATGTTAGAGGCCAATCTCAGGTCACCTGAAAATCTGGCCCTCACTTCAGTGTCATGAAAATCCCACTGACTTCAAGGCTTCACAAGGCAATCCAGGGCGGAATTTGCACTAGTTTTTTAACTAATCCGGTATGGAGTCTGCAGGACACAGCGAAGCTGTATGGGCTCCACTTTGAATGATGGAGTAGGTCTGCTTAGGTGCTTGTGTGTGAGAGGATGAGGAAAAGATGGGAGGAGGAGGGGGAGCTGAAGTGGACACAGAGATACTCTGACCTCCATCACTAACCACAGCTACGTCTGTTGCCCCTTCTTGAATCAAAGCATTGAGCCCTTCCAAGTCAGAGCAGCTGATTCCAGAATCATTGATGAAAGTCTGGCTTGCTGAAGCCCTGTGACTACTGACTGAAGCAGCAGGAATCAAAGTCTGGTGGAGAGCACTGCTGTCACTTTGGTCGTGGGCAGTGAGAAGAACTGCTGGCTGCCCCACTGACACAGCTTCGCTTTGAGAAACAGGGGGATGAGGCGGTGCCAGCAGACTGACTTGGCGCAGTATTTGCAACTGGCTACTTGCAGATAGGTCTTCCTGATTCTGGCTAACTAATGTGGGAGGCATAACATTCACTGAAGCCGTCTGAACTGTTCCATTAGCTTGAGGCACTTGATGGCCAGCAACGATCTTGACCCTTTCTTCATTGTAAGGAGAAACCTGAGTGGCTTGAATTGGAACTTGAAGGTGACTTACAGTAATCGGGGCACTGGTCTGCCTACTGGGGTCCATGTGCAACTGCAAAACAGCCAGTTCAGTACTTTTGGTCCCATTATACTCTCTGTGCTGCTTCTTATGGCTCCTAAGAGAATCTTCTCGGACAAAGGAAGCCTCACACAGGCCACATTTAAATGCTTTCTTGGCATCCAATTTGGCTACTTGCCTGGAGCTGCCCTGCTTTGACTTATCTCCCTCTTTCTTCTCAGTAGTTTGCTTTTTGATCTTGACTTTGTCTCCATGGGCTTTCTTCACGTGCGTGGTCAGATTGCTCCGCTGCTTGGTATCAAAGCTGCAGAAGTCACATTTGAAAGGGCGATCCTCGCAGTGAATTCTCTCGTGCACCTTGAGAGCCGCCTTGTTAGAACAAGAGTAGTTGCATTTTGAGCACTTCACTGGCTGCTCAGGCTGATGGGTTCTTAAGTGATGCCGAAGGGTTGTTTTGTTTCCGCACTGGAACTCGCACTCTGGACACTTGAGTGTGTTCTCCATGCTGTGCTTGATGCGGATGTGCGATTTCAGGTTCCCTTTCATGGCACAGCGGACGTCACAGAACTCACACTTGTAAGGCTTCTCTCCAGAGTGCACACGCATGTGCCTCTTCAAGTCCGAGTTGATTTTAAATTTAGCACTACACATCCGACACTGAAACGGAGCATCTCCTGTCAACAAAACATGCATTTAAATTAGAGGAGTCAAGCCATGAATCTACAGGACTTCCTGGACAGACTGAAAGCTTCAACTAACTGCATAAACTAAAACTGGTATATGAACCCAATTTGTTCCAGTTAAAATTTCCCAACATATTTCCACAATGCACTAAATTCTTTAGTAAGGTGAAATTCAAATGTTGCATTCTCTTGTTTCACCTGAAGCTGATCAGACACACTTTTGTGTGGGAAACACAGTAGCCACTCCTGGCTCAGAGTGCTTTTGGGTAGAGAGAGTATTTGGGCATGCTTGCAGGCCCTGCAGTTCCTTGGTATTTGTATTCCAGATGTTCTCCACTTCTAGTTCATTTTAGGGGTATGAATGGTGAAACACTGTTCCAAAACAAGCTACTGAAGATTCTCAATTCTCCCTCATTAATAAGATTGAACGTCTCAACTAATGCTTTTAGCTAATTGAGATAAACATTAAAAACCAAAGAAGTTGTGTCTCTGCTAGATTTTGATGCATTATAAACCTTTCCTAAATATATACGTTAGCATATACATATAACTGTAGTCATGCTGAGAACTTAAGTATGATGGAGTATTAAATCAGTTCCAAACTATGTGGAATTAAATTACTAGCTAATCATCTTTTTAAAATATTTTGATCATAAAATATTTACCACTGAAGACCCAAAGTAAAAATCATCCTCCAAAATAATTTACACACGTCTGTTCCTATTCTTCTATGCTACATTTGCCCTAGAATATTTGGCTCAAATTTCTTATATTTGTAGAATCTGGTAACTAAAGGTGCAGTGTTCAGCTAGATTTTCAGTTTTTGAAGCAAATGTTGAAAAAGCAAAGAAGGAAGGTGATAGGGAAGGACAACACTTAGTAGCATATACTTGGATGCACAGAAAATACACTGGTTACTCCAGATTTACAGGATGTTCCTACAGTTTGTATTAGGGAAAAAATTAATTGTATTGGAGTGGGGCACCATAATTGGAAAAGAAAAATTAAAAGAGTGAAATATGCAAAAGATAAATAATGATGTATGGATTCATATGAGTTTACTTATATAGAAATGTAACGTTAGGGAACTATTTAGTGTATAGTTTTGTCTTGCAATTCAACAGTTGGAAATGGAGGATTCTGCATGATGTGACCAACCAACTTTCCACAAGCTACAGTAAAAGATGTTTTTTCAATTAGTATGCATGTAGGAGTGTGTGCTTGCACAGTACATGTACATGCACAATTTTTTATGGGGACACACATGAAGACTAGAAATAGCCGCAGCTGAAAATCTGTGTCAAAGGATTCAAATGTTAGATCTTGCAAATGTTTTTGTATTTGCTCAACTTTAACCTCATGAATAATCACTTCAAGGGAACTACTCACATGGGGAAAGTTAGTTACGTGTATAAGCATTTGCATCTTCAGGGCCTAAACCTCTGTTCTTTGCATTTCCTTGCATTCGTAGGGTTGTCACAATATGTGCAGCCAAAATAACCACATATATTTAATTCATAATCACTGGATCAAATCCAGGGCATGGACTTACAAGACAGTGACTCCATTCAGAATATGATGATTTAAAAAACAAAAGACGCTGACTGTAGTAACTAGCATTTGCAAAACAATACTATTCATTCTTAACAGTTCTTCTCTGATCCACTTGAACAGTAAGACATCATTTTGGTATTACTCTGTCACGCCATGGAAGGAGAAAAGTGAAAGAACTATAGGGTGCTATGTAAGACAAACAAAATGCAGGAATGTACTAAGTTCAGTCAATGCTTTGTTCATTAATAATCAAACTGCATATGGCTAATTTATTTTACATGTTAATATTTTATAGATCTTTGTGATATTTGTATAATTTTGCATAATTTGTTTATCCAGCTACATATGTCATTGATTTAGCTGCTTATTTTTCAAATCAAGTTGTGGCATACGGTGCAAATCTCACATCTGTTTAATAATTGAGATATATAGCGTATTATGTTTGTGATAAAGATTTTTATTAACGAAGATACACTAGCAACCAGTGTAGCTTATTTATTTTACAGTCACAGCTGCATACTCTTCTAGTTGAATTGTAAGACTCCACTATTGAATTTTTACCAAGTTTACTGATGAAGGCATAGTACATATTTCAATAGCTCAATTTTCATATATTGGACTGACAGTGTTACTCACTTTTGTACTCAAATTCTGCAATACATGTGTTTTCTAAATTGCAGATTGATCTATTATACATATTTACACTACTGGCCTTGCACAATTTGACACTGGCAGAGGTAAAAAAGAAAGTCAGGGCCCTGATCCTGAAAACTATTACTCATGTGAATTGTTCCATTGAAATTAAGAGAATGAAAGGATTAATCAAATTAGCAAGGGTGTATAAAATCTGACTCCAAATTATATACAGTAGAACCTCAGAGTTACGAACTGACCAGCCAGCCACACACTTCATTTGGAACCGGGAGTATACAATCAGGCAGCAGCAGAGAAAAAATAAATAATAATAAAGCAAATACAGTACAGTAGTGTTAAACGTAAACTACTAAACAAATAAAGGGAAAGCTGCATTTTTCTTCTGCATAGTAAAGTTTCAAAACTGTATTAAGTCAATTTTCAGTTGTAAACTTTTGAAAGAACCATAAAAGGTTTTGTTCAGTTACGAACATTTCAGAGTTACGAATAACCTTCATTCCTGAGATGTTCGTAACTCTGAGGGCTTGGCTACACTTGTGAGTTGCAGCGCAATAAAGGAGCCCCGAGCGCACTAGCTCACTCCCCGTTCACACTGGCAAGGCACACAGAGCACTTTGACTCCGCGGCTACAGCGCTGCTGGTACTCCACCTCGGCGAGTGGAATAACGTTTGCTGCGCCCCCGCAAGAGCGCCGCGGCGCCAGTGTGAACGAGGTGTTGCATTACTGCGCTCTGACTGACCTCTGGAAACATCCCATAATCCCCTTAAGTTAAGTGGCCTCTCTTGTCATTGTTTTGAACTCACTGTAGGAATGCTGTAGGAATGCGGATATGCCCTTTCAAAGCTCCGTTTCTGCCAGCTGGCTGCTTATCTACTCCGGGACAAAGGAATGCTGCTTGCTTTGAATGAGAGAGAGAGGTCTGCTGCTGTCTGAACTTACAAGTCAGCATGCTGACACATTCTCAGCCCCCCCAAAAACCCACTCTCTCTCCCTCCACATACACTCAACATACTCCCTGTCACACTCCACCCCACCCCCCACATTTGAAAAGTACGTTGCAGCCACTTGCATGCTGGGATAGCTACCACAATGCACTGCTCTTTGTGGCGTTGTAAGAGCTGCTAATGTGGCTACACCAGTGTACTTCCAGCTGAGCGTGTAAACACTCAGCAGCGTTTTCCCTGCTGCGGTCTCTGAAGGCTGGTTTAACTCCCAGCGCTCTACAACTGCAAGTACAGCCATGCCCTGAGGCTCTACTGTAGGTCACAAAGACATTTAGGCCTTGGCTACACTGGCAATTCACAGCGCTGCACTTGCTGCGCTCAGGGCTGTGAAAAAACCCGGAGAGGTGGAGTACTTGCAGCGCTGCGAGAGAGCTTTCGCAGCGTTGGCGGCGCGACTACACTCGCGCTTCACAGCGCTGCCGCGGCAGCACTGTGAATCCGTGAGTGTAGCCAAGGCCTTTGGCTTTCTAACAGATTTCTGGTAGTACAGAGAATGGTTGATTCAGTACCATTAGGACCTGCATCCTGGATACAAGTCTGAATTTTTCTTTTAAACTAATCCACTCCACTTAATTTCTTAGTGAACAATAGGGATGTAATCATTTTTTAAAGCTTTGTATTTATATGCAACGAATGACACAAGTTCTTCATATCTAAAAAGATTTACTTGGGAAAGATAGAGTTTAGTTTCTTGCTCTAAAGACTTGACATCACATACTGAGCAATGAAGGGAAGTAGTAACAGAACAGGGTCAGAAAAGACCTCAAATCTGTAGAAACAGGAACACAGCTCCCACTTCAACACATTCCCTCTTGCCTCCTAGCCACCATGGAAGTCCTTCCACAGGACATCTGCAAGAGTGGGCATTCCTGAGATAGATAGGAGGTAGGGATGAAATCTGACCCCACTACAGAATGAGGTGTTCCCAGAGGTAATCCATACAAGACTTACTGGAAGAACTCCCCTCTGTTTGCAATTCATCTTAGATTCAAGCCTGGAAGGGCAAAGGCAGATGCAGCATGGTTTCAAAGGGAGCTGTGCTGCTAATGAAGTGAAGAGTCATGAAACCTAAAGTGAAAGGATAACTTTTCTATGTAGAGAAATTGGGGACCATGCTGACTTCTCAGCAGACCCTAGAGAATCTGCTCCTGGCACATGCCTCTTTCCCTCATCCATCCTGGAACAGCAGGGAAGAGACCATTTTAATTCCACAAGTTCTAGTATAAGAAGTCACATTATTTCTTTGGAGTGGGGAGCATGTGGCCCTGAAAGGACAACTTGACACAAAGGCTGTGCGTGCTTTTAAACTGGCAAAGCAAGACTGCGTTCTCATGACCATGTCACCCTATTTACCTGCTAAATATCACAAAGGGCTTATTCACTCCTTGTTCTTCACTGGCTGAATCCTTCGGAATCAGGGCCACTTGGCCTCCCAGTGGCAGAAAGTATATAAGTGCCAATTCATCAGTCTTCACAGGTGGCAGTGAAAAGCTACCTTACTCTGGTGGAAAAGTGGAGAAGAATAAAGCAAAACTACTGTTTTCCTTCTCCCATGGATTAATCCTTCCAGGGGCACAACTGCTACAGTTTACATATATGTACCTGTGTGTAAGCTGCGCACACTGGCGTTAGAGGAGGTAAATCTACATCAGGTGTTCTCTGGACTGTATCTATCATTACTATCTGACTCACCCATGTACAATTCCTACTGCCCATCACATCCTGTTATGTAGCAGCAGAAACAGGTGAACCTTGTAAAACAGCTCCCTAGTTGTCCTGCCTGTGGCACCACAGCAGATTTGTGAAGCATAAAAGACTCTTCTGCTAAGGACAGATTGGTTTGACCCTCTGCTCCTCCACATTTCACATGTGATTTATGTCTTTTATCTGCTGGAAATAAATTCCACACTGCCTACAACTGAACTAATGTACAGTGTAGTACTTCAATTCTGAATCAGAACCTAGAGCAGGTTCAAAGCAAATATAGTAAACCCTGAATAGTAATCGCTTTGCAGCTAACATTCACAGAATTAATCAAATCTGTAAAGAACAACATGGAAACCAATCTAATACCACAGAATAAGCGAAAAACATTGTATGTCAGAGATAACTGTACAGTCACACAAAAATTCTGTATCTTTACAAGCTACAAGAGAAAATCTGATTAAAAAAGAATTTAGGAAAATAATTTAACTATAAGAAGTTATGGATTTAGTGTTTGCAAAAGGTGTGTGGGCTGACAACCCTGGAGACTGAAATCATCTATCCACAGAACAAGTATAGCATGGGCAGCAGCAAGGCCAGTTTCCTCATATTGTCCTGCTAACATGACTCAGCCTTGACCTGGAGGGGACCCCACCAGCAATGAAAGTTTAGCTGAATTTAGTAATTTGCAGATGTAAACTAAGATGAATTAGGCAGAAATTAAAATAGTTCAAGGGTGTCTACATTTGGAGATTGCACTGGTTTAACTAGTTCAATATCGTAATCAATTTAGTTAAACTGTTGCAACTTTTCTATAATAGTCTCCAGATTGGGAGTTAGACACCTCAGCACTTCTGAAAATCCCACTGGGCACCTATCTACATCTTTAGCATCAAAATACCTCAAATATGGCCCAAGGCGTTTTGAAGTCTTACAGACTGAAATTTTGGTCTAGACTTACCAGTATGGGATCTGAGATGGACAGTAAGCTGGCTAGAGTTGCGGCTCGCATAAGGACAGATCTGGCATTTAAAAGGACGCTCATTTGAATGGATGCGCTGGTGCTTGTTGAGACTGCTGTTGTCGGCAGCTGCATAGTCACAGTGTTTACACTTGTAAGGTTTCACCCCAGTATGGGAACGCATGTGCATCTTCAGCTTATCTTTGCGACTGAAGCACTTGCTACACACCTCACATTTATGGGGCTTATCTCCTGAAAACCAACAAAAGAGCATCTAAATAAGAACTTTTGTAATGACACAATCTTGGAACTAAACAAAACACAAAGAAACTATATAGAATTTTCAAATCGCCATAGCCTGAATTTTCCAAAGGCCTCCTTAAATTCACCTCCAATGTTTATGCCTTCAAACACCTCCACATTAACCACTCTTCCTAATAAGCACAGAAAAGATGGTAAGGAATCAAGCACAATTCAGAAGACCCTTTGAAAAATTGTCCCCTTACACTAGCTTTTGAAAGTTCATTTGAAAATGATTTACATTTTTTTTTAAATTATTGTGTCAAACTAAATTTTTTTTAACTTCTTGTCCTAATCTATAGTACAATGCGGTGATGCACTGAAAAACAGCTTCCCATTCATGCCATGTAGGTTCCTGTGTGTCAGTGATGAGTGAAGCATACATCATTTTTGATGTTCTGAAATCTGAGGGCCAGATGACTAAATTACAAACTGGCCTAAAGTAGTTTGTACCATAATGTGGGACTTGGCATGTGAAAGGGACAGTCCTTGCATTCCAAGAAGCTAGGGGAGGGATTGTGCCTCTTGAACATATAGGTTGTACCACCTAAAACTAGATGCTTATTTTGTGGGAAAACATCTATTGACAATAACAAGAAGGAAAAATAGAAGGTGATGGCTTTAGATTTTACCTGTGTGTGTTCTTAAATGACGTTCCACGTCTTTCATACCATATGATGTCTTGAATTGGCAACCTGAAAATAAATTAGATACCACAAACAAAAAATTAGATTTTTAAATTTAAGAAAAACAAACAAGACAACGGGACAGGGGACATGTACTTTGACAGATTCGGGAAGTTGCCTTTCTCGGCATGTATCTGTAACATTTCTGTGTCAAATTTATCAAGGCTCTGTGTGTGTATGTGTGTATACAAATAAAGAGAAGGAATTCAACACTGCCGGAAAATGAAGTCCACATCTTGTTTGCATATACTTACTTACAATAAGTAAGTAGCTATACTTACCTATAAACTTTAGTCTTCTAGTGCTTCCCTAGAAGATAATTCATTCTCTGCATTAACTCATTCTGGAATTTCTCGTGGTAATCTCTAAAACAAATTGTGTGGAATCTCTGCCTGGGTTTTGAGATGCACTCTACAGTACACAGGGGACACAGGGAGACTAATTAATTTCACATATAGTCTCAGATTAGAGATAGTGGGCACCTAGCTAACACATTTGGGCCTTCATTCTCAGGAGTTTTGCCTGAGTCAAGAATACTGGATAGGGCCCTGAAAGTTTGTGTGTGCGCAAACTAAGACTGTGCATGTGAAATAAGATTCTCAGGTAAAGGAAAGATTTGAAACAATACTGTAAACTCTATTTAAATAAACAAGACTACTCATGTGAGGAAAGTTTAACTCTCAAGCCTTGCAGCACTGAATCCTATATGAAAGAATTAAGCATCTGTTTTGCAGGAATTTATATGGTAACTTTGCTGATTAATATGATTTAAATATTGACATATATTTAAAACCAGTTCATCCTTGCAAACGCTTTGGTTCATCAGAGCTGTGGATACAGTGCAAATAAATTTCAGGATTCTTCACGAGTTGAAGGATTGGGAACACAGTTAGGAGGATACAAATCAGGCCCTACTTTTACAGCGATGTGTGTCAGCACACCTGGAAGCCAGGTAGAGCCCCACTGACCCTAACCAGCACACATCATTAGAGCAAGATCAGAGTCTGAGGGCTTGATTCTACTCTCACTGAAGTCAATGGCAAAACTCCCACTGACTTTAATTGTGTAGGATCAGGCCTAAAGAAGCATATCATGTTGTCTTCTAGATTCTGTGCAGATTAATTTCATGAAATTAGGCAAACCTAGCATATTTATAACTATACTAAACCCACCAATTGCAAAATGAAAGAAAAAAGAAGACATAGCCAATACCTAACCTGGATAGCAGCAGTTCAATTTCTTTTGGACAACAGCAGTAGTGGATTTTCTGGAACGCGTTTTTGATGATGGGGCGACAACAGCGGCAGTCTGAGGTTCACGGCTCTCATTGGGCAGATATGTTTGGTAGCCATGCTCAAAAACAAACTCTGGAGCAGAAACTAAAAACATAAAATGGCCCACTTTCTTAGTATAAACATCTTCAATCTGTATCAAATTCCATTAAGCACCGCCCATATCTAGTTCTAGTTTTACAATCACATTTGCCTATTCTTTTATAAAATGTTTTTCTCTATCTATTACAAGTGCAAGCCCCAGGTAAGCAAAAAAAAAAAAGACAAAGGCCCCTATCCTGAAACTGGATATGCATGGCTAGTCCTTAGCACCAGTACAAAGTTGCACTGAAGCCTGTGGGATTTTGCACTAGCACAAGGATGTGATGGTGTGGATCCAATTGCAGGACTCAGGGCTAAGTCAGTTTCTTCTGCTGTTTGTGCGGGGGATTACTTATAGGAGTACAGTTATGTATGTTGTTAAATGTTAGCAGGATCAGAGCCCTAAATCAGTATTCAGGGGAAACAGCAAAACTGGCTTTATACAAAATGCTGTCAAAAGTATGCAGTAAACAAACTGAAAAAAATAGTTTTTTTTTTTTTTAAATATCTAATCTCTTTCAGTTATAGGAATTTTAAGGTATCAACTGTAAACATAGTAAGAAAAACCATTTTAACGCAGACTAATTAATTGCTTTTAAGTTGATTAAATCTCACCCCTGTCCTAATATCAAATAGGTTGGTATTATTGCCCTCATTTTACAGGCGAGTAAATAAGAGGCAGATAATTTAAGCAATTCATCCAAAATCCAGTGAATCATGGGCAGGGATTTGAACTCAAAAATTCCTGGCAGCCAGCCCTGAAATCAGTCCACTTGACTATCCCATCTTTTCACTCGTTTTAAGGCTTTTGTATATCAGATTCTTTACCCCAAAACATTTCTGCAAATCTCTCTGAAAATTTATGTGTCTGTTCAAATTAGTTCAAAGTAAATGAGGCCCTGAGCCTGAAAACATGCACGCATGTAACTTTATGCAAGTAAAGGTCTGCATATGCTTCAGCCTGACTTAAACCTTTGCAGAGGTAGGAATACTGAGTATCACGATATTTCTAGCTAATTAATTGTGGAAGCAGTTGTTCCAGATGCAGTGTTCTCTTATGAGAAGGACCTGGACTGAGGATCAACAAAAACTCTAAGCCTGTGTTTGTTACCAAGGGCACCACTAAAAATGCCCTGTCATTTGAATATTTTTCATAAATGCTGCCACTGATTAGTTGCCCTTTCATTAAGTGCTGGCTGCATGTCACATCAGGCTTAAGATATTATAAATGGATTAATAGTTTTAATTGTCAAATTAAGTGCATAGCGTTATACCAAAGCTAACAAAGTAGTCAGTTTGCTTCTCCTTCCTTCACCAAATCATATGTGAATACTTGTGTGCAAACTGGTATTTTAACTTAATGTGATGAGGTACATGGATTTACATTTCTATTTTCTTATAGGATGTCAGCTTTCAAATTCCTAAGCAATACCTGTGATGGTCTGAGTCTCTGAAGTGATTGTTCTGGTTGTGGTTTGAGTCTGTGTTGATGGCACAGTTTCTTCTGAGACAAACTGGACTGTACTAGTGGTTCCATTTGCACTGATCAGCTGACAGCCGCTTTGCTTGTGAGCAACGAAGGCATCTAGGTTATTGAACTGCTGCTTGCAAATGCCACAAATGTGAATATCTGGGGTGAGCTCCACTAGGACAGTGGTGCCTCCTGGAACTACAAAAATGGAAGGAGATCAAATAATTTACACTGATGAAATCAAAACATTCCTACACAAAAGCGAAGAGAGACTCCAATAAGATTATCAATTATCATATGGATCAAGGCCTCGATTAGTAGATCATGCATTCAGTTTCTCATTGAATAACTGCAACATATCCGTTTCAACTACTACTGGGAGAGCTATAATAGGACTTGTGAAACCAAGATGCTGAACTCTATAAATACTGTCCTCTTCTTAGCATAGCATTCAACAGATGACAGCACATGGGTGTTACAACCACTGAAGAACTAAACATATTTAGTGGTATATGAAGCTTCTGGGCACTGACTTCAGTAGGAGTTGAGTGTGCTGAGCAGCCTGAAGTGCAAAGCCATTCGATCATCGCCAACCTAAAAATAAAGTTACACTAAGGTTCCTGGGAAACGTGATTCGTGAAGCTTGCATGCCTGCAATGCTGAACCGTAGGTTGCTGATAAGGCTACATTCTTTTTCCATGTTACACACTACGTCACAGGGGCTTGCATGACAGTTGCAGTCTGGTAACTTGCATCTTTGCATGCTGCGCAGTGACACTCTCACAGCCAGGTGGCTTGCACAATTGCACAATGCCGTTGTGCATTGGACCAAAGGACCTACACCGTTGCTCCTTGCATTAGGCCCAGGGAGCTTGCCCTATGCACCCGGGGAGCTTTCCCAGAAAATGTGCTCCAATTATGGGGGGGGGGAAGTGTGTGTGTGTGTGTGTGGGGAGGGGGGGTCCTTAATGAACATGGATAGTCCTGGAGGCAGCATGGAGTGAAGTGTCAGGGTATCTCTTGCCTGGCTCCCCATCCTCTGTGCTGCCCAGCGGAGCCCAAGCAGCAAGACTGCCTTTTCCCCTCTGTCCTTACGTCCCACGGCCTTCTGCCCTGCCTCCTCCCCTGCACTGACTGCTTAACGTCCAACTTCTTCCCCTGCCTCAGTGCCTCCCCTATCCCTAACTGCCCCATGTGTCCTATCCCTAACTCCCCGACATGTCCCATCTGCCTTCTCCCCCACTCCTCCTAGCTCCCCTTCTTACAGTTACTCCTCCTTAACAGGCAGCCCTGGCTGCCCCCACACCTCTAACCTACCCCTCTGCCCTACTTCTGCCGCCCCTGCTCCCACCCAATGCCCCCCAAGCATCTAATGCCCCCTCCCCAGTGGGGGGCTAGAACAGTCCCCGCCCTTCACCCCCGGATCCCTCTTTCTCCCTGACCCCCGATCTCCGCCCCCTTTGCCCGTCTCCTCCGCGAGCCCGTGGCCGGAGGACTGGGGACGGGAGGCGGCAGGCCAGAGTCGATCTCCGCCGGGCAGCGCCTATCGCCTGCTGCCGGGACGAAGGGGCTTCTCCTAGGCGGGGTGTCGGAGCCCGGGACCCGCTGCGGTCCGCTCTCCCCGTTGAGCGACGGGACCGGGGCGGCTGATGGCTCCGTCCGCCTCCCCCGCTCTCCGCGGAGCGACCCCTGGCTGCGCCCCGGCACCTGCTGCTCGCCCAGGCCCCGGGTCCACGGGGGAACTCCGAAGCGGGGCCGCCCGGGGAGCCTCGCTGCGCGCCGGGGCAGGCCGCCCAGCCCCCGGGCTGCTCTCACTCGGGTTCCCCCGAGCCACGTTCCCGGGCTTGGCTCCCGCCCGCTTCTTGCGCTACTCAGGTTTCGGGGCCTGCCCGGGCCCCGGAGCGCGCATAGCCCGCTCGGCACTTACACGGCACGGGGCCCGGGAAGCCCGGCGCCCTCCCGCCGCCCGGGTTCATGGCGCGCTGCACGGCCTGGCCCGGGAGCTCGGCCACCGGCAAGGGGCTGACTGGCGGCGGGGACCGACCGCCCGCCCCGGGCAGGGACGGACGTGGAGAAGCCCAAGCCGAGCGTGCCCGCGCGCTGTGAGCATGCTCAGTGACAGCAGCGGAGGCCGCTGCCCTCACGGGCCCCGGAACCCACCTGCTCGTTCTGGGACGGCACGTGGGGACACAGGGGACCGGGGCGGCTGCTGCGCCTCGCCTCCCTGTGCAGCTCTAGGCAGGTTCCTGTTTAGAGTCTCTATAGACTGGGCAGGCTGCCGCCAGGTCTCTGTACAGCGCCAGGCAGCAGGCTACATGCTTGCTGGTTATTCTCCATACAGCTCCACGCAGCATGCTTGGCTGGTGCTGTGCTGGAGCCTGTCTCTCCCCAGCTCTGCACAAGAGGGTGCTCATGTTTACCCATCCCACACAGGGCGCACCCCGCACTGCTCCTACAGCTTGGGTATATACAAGCACAACAAGGCAAATTAAGTGCCTCCAAGTGGCAGAGGGGTAGAGCTGTTAGTCTGTATCCACAAAAACAACGGGGGGGAGTCTAGTGGCATAAGCTTTTGCGGGTAAAAAACCTACTTCTTCAAATGCATGGAGTTTTTTACCCACGAAAGCTTATGCTCAAATAAATCTGTTAGTCTTTAAAGAGCCACCGGGCTCCTTGTTTTTAAGTGCCTCCACTCCCTCTCCGTTTGCATTCCTGTGTAGCCACCCCACAGGTAGATTCCTGGACGCAGACCTAGCTGAGCAGGACTTTCCCTGCAATCACTACTCCCAGGTCTGTAGGCTACTATTAGGGTGACCAGACAGCAAGTGTGAAAAATCGGGACAGGGGGTGGGGGGTAATAGAAGCCTATATAAGAAAAAGCCCCAAATATCGGGACATCTGGTCACCCTAGCTACTATGTACTAGGTATCAACTGTAAGAGGCGGAATAATCTATCTGCTGTGCTCTCAGTGATTCCTCTGCTAGTTCTGAGGTGGAATAGAAGGGAAAGCAGCTTCCCTCAAATGCAGAGGGGACAAGAGCTGGACCAGGTCGGAGTGGGAGAAGGCCATAGAGGGAGCAGATTGGAAAAGTATTATGTGATTATGTAATTAAAGACTAGATCCTAATGCAGCTCCACAAAGGGGGCGAATTAAGGTTGAACAGGCAAATTTAATTCTGACATTTCCTCACTTTTGAGTGCTTGACTTTGCACCCGGAATATTCTTTTCGCCTAGTCCTTTGTATGTAGTCAATTATAAATGCTGGCAGTTTAGTGTATACTCTAAACACATGCACATAGTTCCAGATTACAGTTCATGTTACAATTGGAGTTCTACTACCCTGGGAAAGTGGCATCCACATGATATCTCTCTTGATTTATTTTGTCAAAACAATATGCTGCAGACATAGGATGGACTAGGATGCAGGAGGGGAAAATCCTAGTTCTGGTCTCCAGAGCAGAGCCCGCTGAATAAATGTGTTGAATAACACATGGTAGGTTTAGGAAGAAGATGATTGAAAACACTACATATATCCCTCTTTGAGACTACAGGTAAATTTTAATCCCAGTTCTAGATATGATGTCTAAATAATACCATAAAATGATTTAAAATAATCCCCAAATTTGAATTAAGCCACAGTGGTTATGATATCCTGAACATCAATATGGTTTTAGAAATGCATTTGGGATCCTCAAATCACACTAGACTAGACTTACAGAATTTCCATTGAAACTCTGGAAACACACCTTCCATTGTGTCAGCATAAATATATAGTTATTGCCTATAAAATGAGTTTATGAAAACATAACCTAGAAGTAGAAAATATGATAAGTGCTAATGACGCTTTCTTTGGAGTGTGTCCAAAATATATCATGGTTAAGATAGTTACAACAATCAGCCTTAATCTATTTTTCCACAGTTTAGAGAAGGCTTCATCGTTGAAACGTCACCTCTCACCCTTTTTACTATTTTTTCCAGCATATTTACTTTTATCCAAGGTAGATATAACTAAATTATTTTTTTCTGCAATAGTACTATACTTCATTTCAGCTGCAGTTGTACCTTGGAGTGCAGAAAGAGCGAGGAGTACTTGTGGCACCTTAGAGACTAATAAATGTTTTTTGGACATAAGCTTTCGTGGGCTAAAACCCACTTCATTGCATCAGATGAAGTGGGTTTTAGCCCACGAAAGCTTATGCCCAAAATAAATGTGTTAGGCTCCAAGGTGCCACAAGTACTCCTCGTTCTTTTTGCTGATACAGACTAACATGGCTACCACTCTGAAACCTGTCACCATGTTGGAGTGTAGAATAATTTGTTTTAATCAGTTTTCACTCTGTTATTGCCTTCCATCAAAACATCAGCCTGTCGCAATTAGAAAAAGATAGTATAGATCTCAGACATTATTTGTTTTGGGTTTTTGTTTGTTTTCACTGAATTTATTACCTATGGAAGGGGCTAGAATGACACCCAGGAAGACTGAAGTCCTTTCTTTTTCCACACAACAGGTACAGCATAGGCAACAGAATTGAAAATGTACTCACTAATGTGCCTTCTCTTTCAGACTGGGTGTCTGGAGACACTTGGGTAACAACTTTTAATTGATACCAGTGAAGACTGGAGTTAAACCAATGAGAGGCGCTGGAACTACGTTGTACTGGGGATGCAGCAGCACCCCCTGGTTTGAAGTGGTTTCCATCATATACGGGGTTTTGTTCAATGACTTTCAGCACCCCCAGTATAAAAATTGTTCCAACGCCCCTGGACAGAGGTGAAAGGCACAGTAGCCAGTCCAGTACCAATCTTTGGGACCATCCAGTTCCCCAACAATCACTATTACTCAGTCAGCTGAATATGATTAAAAAGAAGACTTACATTAACTCATAGGAAGTACATGTATAAAATAGTGCTGCTGTCACAGCAGCGGCATAGCTAAGCCATGCCGAGTACCTACTTACGGGGTTCAGGCGGGTTTATACTTGTCACCGCTAAGCTGTGCTGCCGCGGCTTGTGCTACTGTGGCTACGCTACTATATTTATACTCGTGCTAGCTCTCATCAAACTAATGCAACTCTGTGTATGCGAGCTACAGCCCTAGCTCAGAGTGTAGACATAGTGTTAGATGCAGGCTAACATCACTCCTACAGCTGGCAGCTCATAAAGGAATATATTTCCCCTTATTCCTGCCATTTCTCTACTAACGAGCATTTGGGGGCCAGTCCAGCATCTCAATAGCAGCCTGAGCTGCTTAGCTCCCTATGCTTGCAAGGAAAGGACTGAGGGCAATCCGAGGAAAGGCATTTGCCAGCACCTCCTGAAATGAAAAATGGGGGCAGCTGCACTCTTTTACTCATCTGTGGAACTTTACACGGAATGTTACAAAGCAGTTCTGAGTCACAGCATCGCTGAAGATCGATTCAGCAAACTTCCGTATTTAACCACATTAACAACATTTAACTTTCAAAAGAATCACCCAGTTGCATGAGAGGTTTGTACGGAAATATTCCTATAAACACTAATGCATATGCATAACTTGACTCACAGAAGTACATTTTGTCAAGTGCATAATGTTTGCAGGGTCAGGGCTTTATTTAAATTGAAAGCTGTTTTGGACAGAGACCTGGTTTTCATATCTGTCTTTATAGGGCTTAGCGAACATTTGACGCTACATAAATAATAAATAAAACACCTTGCGGTATGAGGATTGACTTTTGACAGTATAATACTATACTGAGAGCTTGAACCACCGAGCAGACTCTGTGGAGCTCACACTTGATGCTATTTCCAGCCTATAAGGCATAAATCAGTATGCATGTGTAATCTTTTTCACCCTTAACCTGACTGAAATGAAAATACCACACTGCTGCAGGCCCTCTCCAAGTGCTGTGCAAATGAACTAGGCCCAGAAAAGACAAATGTCAATCATGAAAGAAGAATTTAAAAAACATATGGGTGTAAAGAGTTCCCTAACCAGGGAATTCTAAACAGCCATTTCAGAGCACTGCATTGGACAACCATGGCCTAGCTCAGGGGCCTGAGGGCCGCATCGGGTTTCCAAAATTGTATGGAGGGTCGGTTAGGGGAGGCTGTGCCTCCCCAAACAGCCACAC